TAATCTTTTTTTTTCCCTTTATTTTATTTTATTTTTTTTTAAAGTTGTAGATTTACAATTTTTTGTGCTTTGGTTTAAATCATACAATGATCAGATACCCATCCCTCCACCAGTGCCCATCTTCCACCACCATGGATAATATCCCTCCCACCCCCATCCCCCCATCCCCCCTGTCTCTGTGGCAGGGCAATCCCCTGTGTTCTCTCTCTCCTTTTGGGTGTTGTGGTCTGCAAAAGAGTCATTGAGTGGCAAACATGTTCAGTCCATAGTCTACTTTCGACATGCATCTCCCCTCCTGGGAGGATCCTCCAAACATCCTTTATTTGGTGCTCCCTTCTCTATCTGAACTGCCCTTTCCTCTAGGATACCCGGCTGGCCTCTAAGTTATGGGGTAATCCTCCTGGTGCTGATCTCAGCTATTCTTGGGTATTAATCTCATACTTTGTTACTTTATATCCCCCAGATGAATGCAATCTTTCTATGTCTATCCCTCTCTTTCTGACTCATTTCGCTTAGCATGATACTTTCCATATTGTACCACTTGTATGTAAATTTCATGACTTTATCTTTTCTAAGAGCTACATAGTACTCCATTGTGTAGATGTACCAAAGTTTCTTTAACCAGTCATCTGTTCTTGGGCATTCAGGTTTCTTCCAGTTTCTGGCTATTGTAAAGAGTGCTGCAATGAACAAACAAGTGCAGATGTCACTTCGACTATACATTTTTGCCTCTCTGGTATATATTCCCAGGAGTGGTATTGCTGGGTCAAATGGGAGCTCAATTTCTAATTTTTTGAGAATCGTCCATACTGTTTTCCAGAAGGGCTGAACCAGTGGACATTCCTACCAACAGTGAAGGAGTGTCCCTTTCTCGCCACATCCATGCCAGCATCGGTTGCTTTTGTTCGAAAAAGAGTAATCTTAACCTCAGTTTTCCTTCCAGAATGTTCCTTCTTTGGGAATTAAATTGAGTAAGGATTGTTCATTCACTCACCCATATTCTTTTCTCTTCAAATCAGTCAGTTGAATCAGCTCTTGTGGTCTAATATAAAAATCTTTCTTTGATATTTGTTAGCTTACTGTTGGCTTGGGACTGGGGACATCAGCCTTTAAGTAATCACGAGGCCTGAATTCCTGTAATTTGTAGCCTCTAACTTTAAACACATTTTATCAACATTCTCCTTTCGTTATCTTACTGGAAGAGCTGCTCCTTCTCTTGTTCAAGGCTAATTTTCTTATTTGTACTTATGATACTTATGATTTAATATATCCTAGATTTTCCAGGACCATCATTAGTTAAGGTTAACTTAAGCCTTTTAAAAGCTTTCTTTGTTTCAGTTAAAATTATTAAAGGTAAAAAAGGCCCTCCCGTTGATCGTCGATTTGCTCAAGCGGGCCCAGTAACGTCTCCATTGGAGACTTTGTTGTTACTGTGTCTGGCATATCCAATACTCTCGGTAGCTTGCCGGGCTCTCCGAGAGGGGCGGAGGAATCGAACTCGGGTCGGCCATGTTGGCCACTTGTAAGGCGAACGCCCTACCCGCTGTGCTATCGCTCCAGCCCCGAATTTTTAATTTTAATTTTAATTAAAATTATTAATACTTATATAAAAATACCAGGTATTTTTGAATGACAGTCATATGAGATAGATTTTATACCCTTGAAGGATTTGATATTTGGGGAAAAAACAATAACTGGGAGCTGAAGTGAAAATATAATGGGTAGGGTGTTTGCCTTGCACTTGGCTGACTGGGATTAGAATTCTATCCCAATACTTTCAGTTTGACTACCCTAAATACCTTGTAAAAGTTGAATTATGTCTAATTTATTTTGTTTAGTGTCATGTCTTAAGGGCTCATTATTGTATATATCAGAATTTTATTCTTTTTTTTTAGGTCAACTAATATTCTGTCATCTATATAGTCATGTATTGCTTCACAAAGTGATAACTCTAAATACTTTAGATGATTTTGTTGTTTTGTGACTGCAACAACATCCAACAGCAAAGGGAAGGGGGAGGACTGGGGGAAAGAAGGAAGTGTCACACACATAGGAAATAGTTCCTTCTTGGGTCAGTTTTTATTTTTCATGACTAAATTGTTGTAATTCCTATTCTTAAATCTTCTTCAGAACAATCTGAGTTAATTACACGAGAAACTCTCTGGAGTTGGGGATAAGGCTCAAGTGGTAGGGCATATGCCTAGGATGTGAAGGCCTTGAGCTTCATCCTTGGCATGTCCCCCCATCACTTTCTGCCTCCCGGCCCCGCACACACTCCAGCACCTCCAATATAGCCCTGCTGGCTCCCATCTAGCACTGTTTCTGAACATCACTGGGAGTTGCTCTGGGCCTCCTATGTCTGTCTGTGTCACATAATTCTACAATGCAAGGACAATAACCCATTCATCAATAACAGGATGTCTTAAGTATTCTCACTACAAATCTTGAAACATCCTTTATTTTCTGATATTTTATACTTTTCTATTGAGGCATCACCATTTACAATAGTATTAGTAAGATTGTTTTATGCCTACAAAGCTAGTGCCCCACATCTACCACCAGTGTCCATGTCCTTCTATCACTATTCACAAAGTAACCTACACAGACCTTATAGAATCTGTCCCCTGGTCCACCTTTCAGACCTTAGTTTCTGTCATTCTGCCTCGACTATTCTCGCTGCATCGAAACTCTTGCTGCAGATACTCACAATCTTGGCTCTGTCCTATCCTTCAGTCAGCACAGATGCTGTTTGTCACTGTTATTAATTCAGGCCTTGCAGGCACCAGCCCCCTCATTCTCCACTCTCGTGTCCACCAGACCTTATGGCCCATCCCCAATTAATTTTACTTGCACTATTTGATTACATATTTTACTGCATATATATATATACATATATATATATATATCATAGCGGGTAGGGAGTTTGCCTTGCACGTGGCTGACCCGGGTTCTATTCCTCTGCCCCTCTCAGAGAGCCCGGCAAGCTACCAAGAGTATCCTGCCCGCACAGCAAAGCCTGGCAAGATCTCCATGGCGTATTTGATATGCCAAAAACTGTAACAACAAATCTCACAATGGAGATGTTACTGGAACCCACTCGAACAAATAGATGAACAATGGGAGGACAGTGCTACAGAGCTACAGTACACACACACACACACACACACATACACACACACACACACGTCTCCAATAAACTAGCTTCAGGAATGGAGGAGTTAGAGTCTGGTTAGTTGGTTGATTTGCTGCTGGGGCTTGGACCCACATGTGCTTGCCACTGAATGACATTCTGGTGACATTGTTGCAGTTTGTTCCTTGCTATAATAATCTTAGCACCTAGAATAGTGTCTGGCACATGGAAGGTAGTCAATAATATAGTGAATACAACCAATTTGAATGCTCAGTGAGAGAGTAAGTGCATGTTGAGTTTGTGCGCCTCCGTCCCCATGATGGCTGCCTTCTCTAGGCATGAAAACACTAGAATTTCCCAATTAGTGCCCTGGATTTCCCCCCCTTAGACTAAAACTCTGCTGAAATTACTAGAAAGTCAAGGTTAGGGGGAAAACACAAGTGACAGAGCATTTGCCTAGCATACACAAGGTCCTGAATTTGATCTCTGGTGTGCACAGCTGCTGAGTACTGCCATATATGGTCCTACCCTTCCACCCCTCAACACCTCAAGCACTGCTGGGTGTGCCCCTTCAGGAAAGCCAAAACCTAACCAAACAAAGTACTTGAGACGGAGTTTAGCTGTGCTAGAAATCCACCTCCATGACAGTTTACACATATAAAAATAAATTTAACTGAATACTGGAGATTGGGGAGCATTGTATGTATTTTATGCCTCTTTAAAATAATTTTTATTTGTTCATTTTTGTTTCACACCCAGTGGTATTCAGTACTTAACTCCTGGTTACGCACTCAGGGATCACTCCTGATGGGCTCGGAGGACTATCTGGGGTACTGGCAATCAAAAACAAGCGCCCTACCTGCTGTACTGTTGCTCTGGCCCCTTGAAATTTTTATTGTCTGTTGTGTTCTTTGAGATCTTCAGAGGAAGGTCACTGTCACTGTCCTCTTGTTGTTCATCGACTTGCTTGAGCGGGCCCAGTAACGTCTCCATTGTGACAATTGTTACTATGTTTGGCAAATTGAATACATCACGGGTAGCTTGCCAGGCTCTGCCCCGTGGGTGAGATACTCTCGGTAGCTTGCTGGGCTCCCCAAGAGGGGTGGAAGAATTGAACTCGGGTGGACCATGTTGGCCGCTTGCAAGGCAAACGCCCTACCCTCTGTGCTATGCTCCATCCCAGAGGAAGGTAACTATGCTAAATGACATGATAAAAAGATTATGGAGGTAAGGTGCTGAGAGAGAGTACAAGGGTTAAAGCATGTGCTTTGCATGTACTTACCCCAGTTCAATTCTCTATACTAAATGGTCCTTCAAAACATCCTGAGGTGTGATCATGGAAGCCCCTGACCATTACTAGGTGTGGTTACCAGAGCAGTCTTGGAACCACAGGACCCAAGCAGTTGATTCCTTGCATTGACCAGTTGACCCCACCATCTCCCTCTGCCCTTGTCTCCCCAGCCACTTTGGCTAACAGTTGCTGCTGGGGTTGGGGGCGAGGGCCTGAGAGAGAGAACAGCAGGTAGGGTGCTTGCCTTGCATGCGGCCAACTTGGTTTCATTCTCTGGCATCCCATATGGTTCCCCGAGCTCCTCCAGGAGTGATCTTGAGTGCAGAGCCAAGAGTCACCCTTGAGCATTGCTAGGCATGGCCCCAAACAAAACAACAACAGCAACAAAAAAAGAATTGCTGCTGGGGCCCCTGGTCCTTGAGCACTGAGGAGGCACCTCTCAGACACCAACAACTCACCAGAATAAAAGATTATTATGAAAGGGTTCTGTTATTCCTTAACTAAGAATTTATGGTTAAATTATTAAAACTTTATTTTGAATTTAAAATTTTAAATAATTCTTAATTTACTTTTTTGCAGACACAGTATTAGCAGAATATCAGAAAAAAATTAAAGAAGCTTTTGAAGTGTTTGACCATGAAGAGAATGGTACAGTGGATGTGAGGTCTGAAAAAAAAATTTTTTTATTGTATTTCTAAAATTACTGGTACAATACATAAAGGTGATGAGGGCTCTTTTATTTTTATAGTCACTGGATTTATTGTACTATTTAAAGTAATTATTTTCTTGTGACCTGTAAATGGTTTGGGTCATATCAATACAATTTTTTCTTTCTACACAGTCTGGTCTGTTGGAATTGATACACACACATATATATATATATATATATATAAACATATATATAATTTGCTTCTTCTAATCTATTGACTGTACTCTTGTATAGACTGTGCTCTTGTTTACAGTAGCTTTAGTGCTGGACATGTAGTTGGCACTCAGTAAATATGTGAGTGAGTAAATAGAATATGCGTAAAAATACATAGGAACAAAAACAATCAGTGTTAGCTTGGATGTAGGAAAAGGAACCCTCAGCCACTGCTGGTGGTAATGTCAGCTGGTTCAACCTTTATGAGTATTACTTTAAAAAAATTTTTTTTATGCCTTTGAGCGGGCCCAGTAACGTCTCCATCATGAGACTTGTTGTTACTGTGTTTGGCATATCGAATACATCACAGGGAGCTTGCCAGGCTCTGCTGTGCGGGCGAAATACTCTCAGTAGCTTGCCGGGCTCTCCGAGAGGGGCGGAGGAATCGAACTCGGGTCGGCCATGTTGGCCGCTTGTAAGGCAAACGCCCTACCGCTGTGCTCTCGCTCCAGCCCTTTTATGCCTTTAAAAATTAAAAATTGAGCCTCCATGAAACCTAGCAATTCCACTTTTGGATATCTTCCCCGAGGGCCCCAAATTTCTGGTCAGAAAAGACATTTGTACTGTGTTCATTGCAGCAAAAAATATTCATAATAGCCAAAAATCTGGAAACAAGCCAAATGTCCAAGAACAGATGACTGAATAAAAAAATTATGGTATACACAATGGAATACTACTTAGCTTTAAGAAAAGATGAAATCATGCAATTTGCCACTCTGTGGTTGAAACTAGAGGGAATCATGCTGAGTAAAAACAGCCAGAAGGAGAGGGTTAGGCACAGAATGGTCTCTCTTGTATCTGGGATGTAAAGAAGCATAGTAGGGTAAAAATTGTAGCACTGTAGCTCTGTCCTCCCGTTATTCATCGATTTGCCCGAGTGGGCACTAGTAACGTCACCATTGTGAGACTTGTTGTTACTGTTTTTGGCATGTTGAATACGCCACGGGGAGTTTGACAGGCTCTGCCATGCAGGCGGGATACTCTTGGTAGCTTGCCGAGCTCTCCGAGAGGGGTGGAGGAATCGAACCTGGGTCGGCTGTGTGCAAGGCAAACGCCCTACCCACTGTGCTATCACTCCAGCCATAAAAGGCCCAAAGCCATAGAAACTTAAGAACTGGTCCACTGAACTGGTTTATCATGGCAGTGAGATGAGGCACTGGTGTGAGGGATGAAGGGGGTCACTGAGAGAATGGTGAGAGAGATGTGGTTTTGGAATGTTGTATTCATGAAACATTATCATTGACTGTATCATCACTGTATCATTGATTTACACTGTAAAAGTGTAAATCATGGAGATTAAAATTAAGAAAATATATGAACCATAAAAAAACCCCATAGGTATGTATTATCAAGTCATGAATGAGATATTGGTCGATTTCCTAAATTTTTTTCCCTCTTTTTTTGAGGAACTGTGCTTTACAATACTGTTAGTGATAGTTTTATGTGCACATTGTTCCAACATGACACCTTCAGAGGGTGCCTGCTTCCCTCCATCAATATCCTGGACCTTTCTTTCCCCCACCCCTACCCAGGTAGCCTTAGCCCTAGGTAAGCTCAGTTCTGAAGATCAGCTTTCTAGTTCTCTTGCCTTTGGTTATTTGCTGCTCCCTTTACTGTGTTTCTTCATTTTTATTTTGTTTTTCAGAGATTTTTAAAATTGTTTTCCTCTCTCTATCTTTATCTCTCTCAGAAAATTAATTTGTTTGTTTGGGGACCCCATACAGCAGTGCTCAGGGCATACTCCTGGTTCTGTGATCAGGGTCACCACTGATGGGACTTAGGGACCATATGGGGTTCTGGAGATTGAGCCATAGTCAACCATGTGCGAGGCAAGCTCCTTATTTGCTGTATTATCTCTCCAGTCCCTCAGGAAGTCCTTATTTAATAAGTTTTTTGTTTAATTTCCAAGAATTTAAGCTTCCCCCTCCCCCCGCAATTTTGTTTGTGATTAATTTCCGTTTTCAAAACACTGTGGTCTGAGAAGATAGTTGATGTAATTTTCAGCTTCTTGATTTTATGACTATATGTTTTGTTATCCACATTCCTTCCTTCAGGGGCTGTGTTTCCTTGCTGAGTTTTGCCTCGTTGACCTCTATCCAGCAGTGAGAGGAGTGTTGAAGTCTGCTACTACTATTGTATTGCTGTCAGTTTCTTCCTTCAAGTCTCTCTCCTTAAGCATTTACTTTATTCTCTTTTAATTTTTCAGAGGTTGAATCCAGTGCCTCACGAATGTTAGACATGAGTACTCTACTGCTGATTCATATCTCTGTCCCTTACTTTCCCTAAGTGAGATAGCAAAAAAATCCCCAAATCAAAGAAAATAAAATATGATATAAAGACTTAAATATGGGTGGATCTAGAATGGAGGACATGAGGAAAGACTAGAAATATTGCTGCAATTATTATTATTATTATTATTATTATTATAATATTGTTTTGGGGGCTGGAGCAATAGCACAGCTGGGAGGGTGTTTTTTTTTGCATATTGCTGACCCTGTTCCATTCCTCTGCCCTTCTTGGAGAGCTCGGCAAGCTACTGAGAGTATCTTGCCTGCACCACAAAGCCTGGTAAGCTACTAGTGATGATTTGATATGCCAAAAAGTAACAACAAGTCTCACAGTTTGTTGTGAGACTGGTGCCTACTGAGCTAATCGATGAACAATGGGAGGACAGTGCTACAGGATTATTATTGTTTTGAGCCACACCTGACAATAGTCAGGTTACTCCTGACTCTGTCCTCAGGAATCATTCACTCCTGCCAGTGCTCCAGGGACCATATAGGTTGCCAGAGATTGGGGACTGAACCTGAGTTGGCACATACAAGGCAAGGACCTTATTTGCTCTACTTTCTCTGTAGCCAAGATCTTTTTTATTTGGCAAGAGGGGCACTGGGTGGCAGCACACCTGGCAGTGCCCTGGGATTACTTCTGACTCTGCACTCAGGAATCACTCTTGGAGGGCTCGAGAGACCATGTGTGGTGCCAGTGATTGAACCCTGCAAGGCAAATGACCTACTGGCTGTACTATCACTCGGATTTTTTTTTTCCTTTTTAAATTTATTTTTCTTTAAAAAAATTTTTGAGCAACACTCAGCAGTGCTCAGGGCTTAGGCCTGGCTCTGTGCTCAGGGATCACTCCTGGAAGTGCTTGGGGGCCCATGTGGGATGCCTTGGATTGAATCTGGGTCAGCTTCTTTGTTTGTTTGTTTGTTTGTTTGTTTGTTTTTAAAGAGAACATCAAGGAGTAGGGGAGGTGAAAGGCCAAATTTACAGGAAACTGTGTAAGAATAGTAGAAGCAGAGTGGGCCAAGCCACATACCTTAAAGAAAGGCAATGGAAGTGTCTTCCAGGAGACCAAGCTAAGTGAGGATTATTTGATGGTCTCAAGTCTCCACAGAGCAGTAGGACGTGGTTTTTAAAAGCTGCTGGAATGTTCCCAGGAAAGTGGCTCTGTGTACACTGCATTTTTGAGGCCCTGGCTCAATCCCCAGCATGTGTAATTCCAGGCATGCTGCAGTGAATGTCCTCGCCTGGCACTGCCAGCAACAAAAATGGTGTTGGACAGGTGCTGTCTGATACCTAGTCCAGTTAGACATGAGTTAAATGGGATAAACAAAATCTTTGATTTCTGAGGCATTTGAACTATAGTCTTCCTTAGGTTTTCATTCCTGGGGGTGACAGGAGTGGTGGCAGGATAGAAGCCAGATACATGCCACCAGTTTCATAAGTTTACACTCCATGAAGCTCTGTTTTTTTACCTCCAACTATTTTTTCTTTTTGTTTTTGTTTTCAGGGCCATACCTGGCAGTGCTCAGGGGGTCACTCTTACCACTGAACTCAGGCACCTCTCCTGGCAGTGCTTGGGAAAGTCTATAGGATCCTGAGGATTGAACTTAGGTTGGCTTCGTGCAAGGCAAATGCCCACCCATTGTACTGTAGCTCCAACCACTCTACCTCCGCTATGTTTATGGACCTTACTGTGCTGGAGAAGGCGGAGCAGGGAGGAAATGCCAGCACCTCATCTATCTTTAGCCCCTTTTGAGTGTTGGCCAGCCATTGTCAAGAAAAGGTGAGGGCAGCATTCCGGGCTCTGGCCATGCCTGTGAGGACCACCCAGTAGCATCTGCTCCTTCATGGGGGAATCCTAGCAGGAGAATGAGGAGTGGTGCCATGATGGGAGCTGAGTGACCAAATCTGTGAGTTGACTTGGCAACTCCCACAAGGGTTTAGCATCTTCAGTTTGGGGACACTAGCAGGAGGAGGGAGGCTAGGAGAATACTTTGTTCAGAGTCACATCAGTTTTGTAACCTCCAAAACAGTCTTGCTGTGGCTTGTTGCGTTTCTCCCCAGTCCTCCCACCAATCCCCTCACCCCTACCCTTCTCTCTTCCTTCATTTTCCCCCATCCCCCACCCTCACTTCATACTTATCCTCGCCTTTAGGTTTCATGACAGTAGAAGTGAAAAAATCTCCCAAATGAATCCCTTCGAGCAGAGCAAGAGAACCATTTAGGGAAAAATAAACAGGTTTATAGGACTCATCCCCCCGCCCTTCAATATTAAAGTAATTTTATTGAAGCCCTGAAGACATGTGTATGATCTTCCAATTTAAATTGTCTACCTCACTAAACAGCGAAGAGTAGCATTATTGTTAGCACTAAAACATTAATGCTAAGCATATTTCAGTCACGAGACAGAGCCGCGTACTGCTGTCTAAGCGCTCCTCCTTCTGTTAAGGTATAGA